GCTATTAAACAAACGTCATAGAACAATTTCGACACAAAAACATGGTTTTACTCCGACTATAGATTGTTTTTGACTTACTTTTGAGCTACCTTTCAAAACTTATTTTCGAAACGAACGGTTATCGAGTCAGAACTTCCATTTACAAATACAAACAAAAACTTGTGTTAATGACTGATATTTTTTACTTAAAACTTATTTACTAGTAATTTATTCATGAAATTTATAAAGTAATTAAAAACTATAGAGATTGAATTCTTGCTTGTTTGGGCTTGCGTCTAATTTCATTAAACATCCCTATATTTAATTTTTCTTGCAAATTTCTGTTAAATTCTTGATACCCATGTTATAATTCCCCAAAATAAGTTTGTAAAAAGGTTCTTTTATATAGAGATATCCATTTATTATATAACACCTATACATAAATTTATTTTATTAAATGAATTCTTTAAAGAAAACCACAAATTACAGAGGTTCTTTGTATTATCCAACTGTTATAAAAGATTATATGTTTAATAAAGATTATGGTATATAAAAGATTTTCCATAGAAAGGAAAAAAATATTAAAGAAAAATTCAACATGGTAGGAAGTTCCTGAAAGGAAGGCAATAGAAAATATTTTATTTATGGTTTTTAATGCTTTAAGAACAAGCAATTGTGTTGAAAAATAAAATTATTAATATATGAAACTATCTACATATTTTTAACGTATAACAGGGCTATAAATAATCAAGAATAAACAAAAATAAGTGTTTTTGAACACATCAATTTTTAGGTAAAAGCGTTCATAATTGTCGACTGCATTGTATACAATAAAGGAGGTTATGTGATGGCACCAAATTTCGGATGTCGAGTTTCTGGTGGGATTTCCCCATGTTAGGGAAGCGTAAATAATCTATTTTTAGAGAGATTTTAGTCTGTTAGTTCTTTTGTTTGTTTGTCAATCTGTCGATCTGTTAGTCTGTCGGTCTGTCGGTCTGTCGGTCTGTCGGTCTGTCAATCTATTGGTGTGTGTGTGCACAATTTTGATGAAGTTTTATATGGGACTTTATTTTGGCTATGCCCCGGATTGATTAACTTTTGGTATATTATTTAAATTCAGCTTGTTAAAAGAATGAACTTAGAAATTATTCGGAAGGATTAGGGTTTGAAAACCGAACTAGGGGCTGATTTTTAATTTGTATCTTATCCAAGGAACTAATTGGTAGAATTAGTTGAAATTTAAGTTCTGGGCTGTTTACGAAATTAATTTTGATGAACTTTTCTGGAAATTCGAATAGCTAAAAGCTTATTAACATTTTTATAATCTTCTGTAACAGTTTTGCTAAACTAGACAATACACATTGCGATCGATTATGTTCTGATCACATCATATTTTTTTTGTTTTATGTTAACAAAAGTTTCAAACTGTTACTTTATAATGTTTGTATTCATTGCGAACTATAACAGATTAAGCTCAATACAATATTTTACACTATTTAAATACATAATGAACAAATGTATAGAATTTTTATAGTCAAATTTAAGTTCAAATATTTTAATACAATGGTCTTATTTTAGTATATCAGAATGAATAATTTTGTAGGATTTTAAAGTATTAGTTCGTATATATAAGAAGCTCCTAAGGAGTATAAAACAGAAAAATTATTTTCTATTTCATCGTTATTCGTTTTATTTATCGACCGTATTGCATACAATAAATGCAAATCGTAAAGGCAATTTTGTTAAGAATAATGTTAGACAAAGAAATTCGTTGTAACGTAATATTCAAACATGCTTAACATGCAAATATGTTTGAATTTGATTTAAATTTAAAATTAATTAAAAATTGAGCATTAACTACTTTTCTTCTTAAGATTGAGTATATCTTTTTTTGAAATGTGTTTATATACTTTTGAACATACTTTGCTTGAAATAAAATCATCTTGCTTGTATTATTTGATTTATAAAATTTTTGTAAGCTAATTAAATAATATTTTGCATCCTCAGATAATCTAACTATTCTTATTCGAAAAAATTACATCACAAATCGGACTGTTTTTTTGTGATTTGTATAAGTTCATTATACAAAAATTGAACTTGTATCAGTTCCCAAAATAAAAGATAAATAAGCTTAGTTAAATAAATTTCAAAATTTTCATTTTTTGAAAAATTAACTAGAAAGAAGTTGTTATTTCTGTGGCCGCACTAAAACATAGCTTGAATCGACATTAAGACGAAACTGATATTTTACCATCATTAAACTAATTTTGTTTTTAAATAGCTTTAAAATTAGGTATTTTGCTTATAAGAAAGTTGAAATAGCCAAAAATATCAAGGTAATCAGTCCGCTGCCGTAGTTCTGGTATTATTTACATTTTTATTTGAACTAAAGAAAGAAATGCAAAATATGTAGGTACTTATTGGAATTATTTTATTCGTTAGTCCCATTTACAATTTATTCAAACAAATTCAAGTTACAATATTAAAAATTATTCTTGGTTTTAAAATAGAGTAGTCCTTAATCATAATATTATTGTCGTCATATTTAATTTTTACTTATTTTTACTTGAAGTTGTTTATTAACACACATGTACACAAATTCAAAATTTAATTTATATAATCCCTCACCTCTCCTCAATTTTAGCATTTCAAAGTCCTAACTTTACGCTAATTTTTATAAATTTGAGTTTCTAAAGAATGTGTTCTTAGTTTTAGAAAACTTAAAGCACTGCTTCTTTATCTATAAGCGAGTAAAAGTTTCAATAAAATAACGAAAATCTTAATAACGAAAATTCGTTCACATTTTTAAGACATTTGATTTAAAATTTATTTTACAAATTTTGCTTATTAGTACTCATTTGCCAATTAGGTTTGGTTTTTTGTCCAGTTTGTAACCAAATACAATACAGTTCTCAGCGAATTCTTTAATAATTTTTGCTGCAATAAATTCCAACAATGTTTTTTGTGATAATTTTGTAAGTATGTAGCAAATACAAATATTTCATTAGTTAATAAGATAAGACAATAAAATCGAGATGATTCACCTTCATAAAATTTAAACTATTAAAATTTCGAGGATACAAAATTTCAAACTGTATTGAATTACATTACAGATAAATACCATTATTTTTTTGTGCTATTAAGTATATACGTGTAAATATGTGGGTATACTTAAATGAATTTGTATAAATGTTTGTACATTAAGGGGTTTATGTACACGAATATAAAAGATATTCGAGTGTTTTGTACAAAGATAGAGCGAAATTTCCAAGAAAGGTTACTAAACCGTTTTCAGACAAGGTTTTAGAAAAAAAAAAGATAACAACAATTTTGTTGTAGTTGTCGTTTTTTTTAATACGCGCGTGCTGGTAAACGCTAAATTTTTTTAGTAAAAAATAATCTTTGAAAAATGCATTTGGTTTTTTTTTATTTGCTGATTACCATTATTTAGAGATTGGAAAAAGAATAGAAAGAACAGATATACGAGATTCCATAATATCACAGCAAAGGTTGACCATAAATTCTTGCGTATTAAAGCTACAATAATCTTTTCTTAAATAGTGGATTTTGTTCTATGCATTATACATTTGTCCTTTTCTTTCTTTCTTCTTTGTTTGATTAATTTTTTATAGATTAAGAAAGGAATTTTCTTTTTGCACAATTTTTCTTTGACTTCAACAATTTTTACTTTGTTTATTCGTCTTGTTTTTGCAAATACCTTTTTTAGATCATTTGTTAAATTCCGTTCTAAACAAGTTTTCTTGTATTTATAATTGAATTTCAATTAGTGTGTGTGTGTACTCAGAGGTAGCGTTTCTATTTCTTGGTACATAAAAGTATTCTATAAAATTTTGATACTCTTCCTCTTCTTGTCTTCGGAACACATTTAAGAAATATTTCATTAAAGAGTACAATGTTTTTAAGAAAAATTTTAGTAGAAACGAGAGTTTAGAATCAAAGAATTAAAATGCCTCTTCGGTTTTGTATTTTATTGACGGAAATTATGATTATCGAAAGACATTTCTTTCTATACGAACTTCACCGACAATGCCTTTGAAATATTTGAACTTTACCAAAATACTACTACGCTTTTTACTCGGAGATGCTTTCGTACCGTACGTCCCTGGAGATGTTTACAAAACGTCTACACCCTTAAAAAACTAAAATTTCATATATGCATGGATCTTTTTTAGAAACTTTTTTCGTTAGACAATTTTTATCTATATCCCACTCTCTAAAAGTTATAAATACCCAAAACCATAAAAAAGCTATTTTTAAACTATTTATACACTTGTAGCTGTCAAACCACCACTTTTCAAATTTTTCAAAAGCAAAAGTAGTTCTTGGCTTCTTCTGCTACGACATACCATATTTGAAATTTAAAAAACTATTCCAAAATGCAGAAAGCTAACGGTAAATGTCACGCGATTAAAAAATATAATTATTTTTCTTAACTCATGCCTAAATTCGAGCGCTATGCTAACGTCGTTTTATTTTATTTAACGTACAGTGCTTATCCTGAACGTATGCAATTTTTGAAATAAATTCCTATATGAATGAAAGGAAGTTAAAAAGGTAGCAGGTGCATAGATTGTTTTATTTTCATTTGAAGGGGAAAATTGCTACATTACAAACCATTGCTTGGACGCAACTTTATTTGTATTCAAAACTAACCGTTTTGTGACTTGAAGTCAAATTGAAGTAATGATATACTTGGAAAAATTAGTTTGGTTTTTGGACAAGGAGCAATTATTTTCCTTTTTGAAAAAGAAACTTTTCTTCTTTCATTTTGTACGGTAAGCTAAATAAAGAAGAAAATTTTTTAAAGATAAAATATTGTTCAACTTTAGAAACTCCTTTTAGAAGATTGAAGCTGAAAAGTCACTGAAATGAATACAAAACTAAATATTTATCGGGGACATTTGACTTTTAAAATTTTCCCTAAAAATAACTTTTATATCTACACTGAGAAAACTCTAAGTTATAGCAATTTTAAAAATATGAAATTTTTCAATACTTACGTCACAGCTTCTAATGAATCTTTTTCAACTGCTTTATGTAATGCTGTTGCACCATCTTTGGTACGATAATCTAAAAGTGCACCACCATTTACTAATGCAATTAAAATTTTATTTGGTTTTTTAGTTCCAGTTGCAACAGTCAGTGGTGTTTCACCACTTTCAGGACAATGAAAATTTGGGTCCAGCCCTTTAGCACACATTTTTGCAATTTTTTCAACATGTCCACCATTTATACATTCCATAAAACGACGTAAATTCGCTCTCGTATGCAATGCTTTCAACTGACGTTCATCTAAATTTAACATTTTGTAAACTCGTCTCTTATATTTAAGCTAAAATTTAAAGAAATAAATAATTTATCATTAAAAATTAAATTTGAAAAACAAGTTGCAAAAAATATTTAAAAGCTTAAAGATGCCTACACAAAAGTTTATAAATGAATAAAAATAAAAATTTCATTAAACTCATACCTCTAAATATCCGACAGGTCCATTAAATGGATAATCGCCAAGTCGACGTTCCTCATCTAGGAACTTACCGGCCTTGCCATTAGATGGAGGACAAAATAATCCATAATTAAAGCTTTCTTTCAGTTCCTAAACACAGAAAAAATACGATTTGAAATTAATTAAACTATTTTAAAGCGAATGTAAAAATAAATTTTGTGTTAAAGGAGATAGAATTGTTACAAAAGTAACATTTGAGACGACATTTGAGAGCTAAAATATGTTATAAATTTTGCATATATTAAATTCGTTTTTATATATTAAGTTCGTTTTTCATGAGAAATTTAACACAACCTCAATAGGAACCCTTTGTTGCAATGTTTCCAATGGGTTAAACCTTTGGAAACATTTCCCTTAAACAATGAGGACTTTCTTTTTAACTGTTGGGTTTACATTTTGATCTTAATATCATAATTTTCCATATTACATACTTTTAGGAGAGTTTAGTTTGAGTTCAATTTTTATGGGTAAAATTATGAGCTCTCCATATGCAAACCATAAGAAATTTGATCACGTAAACAATTACTTAAATGCAAAGCATTTTGTTCAATTAATTCAAAGTATTAAAGTTAATAAGGAAGTATTTAACAAATGTTCTCTAAAATCTCTGAAATTTTCATGAAAAATTTTTAATTCAAATTTTATGTTTTTTGGATATTATTAAATTTTTAAACTACTCTCCAAATTCAAAAACTTAAATTTCTATTGAACTTGGTAAACAAAAACTTTAATTTCATTACTCCGAAATTAGCCGTCCGTTATAGTTGAATATTTTATTTCAAGTTTCTATGCGCAAATTAAATTCTCCTTATGTTGTTATTCTGAGTCAGGATATTAAAAGAAATGTAAATACACATAAGGAAAACAGTTAGCTTGGAAAAATTATTTGCACACAAATAAATTTTTTTTTATTTATTTAAGATTTTTTTAAATATAAATCTTGACCTACATAAATGCTGTCACTAAATGAAAAAAGAAACACTTTTATCTGCAAGAACTCAGAAGAAAAACAAGTACAAAAATAAAAGAGCTAAAACAAACTATTGAAAAAACAGCATAAAATTCTTTAGTCTCGCATAAGTCGTTATCAACTCAAGGATAATAACACTTACATAATAAGTTACATTTGAAAATAAGAAAAAGTGGAAGATAAATTTTTCTTCTGTTTCTGAAAATTTATTGAATAATGAATGAGGCAATGATCTTTAGAGCTTTATATTTATATATATATATATATGAGTGTGTGTGTGTATGTTTATATCTTAATGTTTTAAGTATGGCAATCCATGAAATGGATAAGATTTTCTTAAAAGATTATAAGGTCTATAATGTTTTTAAACTGAAAATTCGAAAATTTTGTAAATAAAATTACAAAAAATAAGAATAAGCACATTTAAGAATTATTTTTTTAAATATTAAATAAAATCCACAAAAAAAATTATATAAGCATACAAATTTTATATATAGTATATGTATGTAGGTATGCATTTGTATCTATGGCAGTGGAATGACATGACAAGTTTGAATGAAAACTTATTTGAAATTAAAATTTTAATTTTGGAATTCTTAAAGGAATTTTTAATAAAATAATTTTGCCAATTGTTTTATTCACAAGTGCAGTTTTATTAAATTTTTAAATTGAATTTGTAAACATATTTTTGTAGCCATATAAATACATACATATTTATGCAAATATGAGACTGTTAAATTTTTTATTATACATAAATATTCTTTTTAAGCTGGTAATCATTTACAAATTTAGAACATTTTTAAAAAATTGAATTAATTTGGATTTATTTCACCATATAGGTGAGGAGAATTTTATTCCAATTCTTTCTAATTTAAGTTTAGTAAAGTAATGTGTGTGTATTTGAGAAATTATTAATTAAAAATATGCAGTAACGAATATAGCAACTGAAACTAGTTCTTTAGTACAACTTTTTTTTTTATCTCGTTTTGATTTTATTAAACTGATTATTAATCGACATGTCAACTGACATTGCGATGACAGTAAATTTTCTCAAGTTGATTTAACAGAATATTCTGTAAAATTGTAGTTTCGCGTGAGAATTTAAGTAGCTAATAACACATCAATTTAATCTAGATGCGTTCGCAGATTCCCAAAAGAGAGAAAGCGGGTTCGCATGTTTTTTCTATTTAAAAAATTTATGAATAATATAATAGCTCAAACCCTCCGCATATTAAAATCTCCGTTGATAAATTGGATTTATATTAAATATAAATTTACATATCCTTTAGTAAGGCTAATATAAATTTTTTAAAATTTATTTATATATAAATACTAAAATTTTAATTTGATCAATAAGAAGTAAGAAAAGCAGTATAGAATTAATTTACCGAAGGCAATAAAAAAACTTTTTTACGGCAGAATAACGCATTGAAGATCTATTAAAATTATGTTCCTCACATGAAAACGTTTCCTTCATATTATTTATGAATAATCTGAAATGATTAATTTAATTTTCATTTCTAGTATTTTTCAACATTTTAATGGCTCACAGAACAATTCCAGTAAGTCAAGAACAAAACTTATGATACATATAACGTGTATATGTATATGTAATATTAAGTAACGTTCATGTTAATATTAAGTAACGTACATACATTTGTATGGAATTGCAATATCATACGCAACAAAAACAGCATCTTTATAACGTTCAACGAATGAGTAACAATGTTTACTTTTACGAGATTCTTAATTTAATGTCCTTCAAGTGAATAAGACAAAGGATATTATATAGTTGAAGGTTAACTTGTAAAATTTTATTATATCAGTTACATAACACTAACTGTACTATACATTATTTTCTATTTTGCAAAACTGTTTGAGTGTGTAATAAAAAATGTAAGAATAAAAACTAACTGCAACATTTTACATAATCTTTCTCTTGTTTTTTGACATTGTGAATGTCAAAAGATTTGTTTAAATATTTAAAAATAAAATAAAATTTCCTTTTTTTTTTTTGTCCAATAAAAAAGATGACAATTTTTATACGAATAAGCGAACAAAATCTAATGGAATAGAAAAATTTGAAAAAGACAAAAAACTTGTATTCTTTGCCATTGAACTGAAATCAAAAATCAAAGAAAATTAAACCTGAATTGAAATATCTGAAGAAGTCGAATTCAATACCAAAAAATCTGAATTAATAAGGACCTGGTTAATAGAGCAAAATATTATTCGTTAAGAATATGGTTGGCAATATAAAACAGTGTTACAAGTATAATTTGCCACCAAAATTAAAAAATAGCTCTTGATCACTACAAAATTTTGATATAAATGAATTTATGATTTTATGAAAAAGTTTATGAAAGACAGTTTACATGACGAACAAAACATTCCTTTTTTATGAAAAAAGTTCGGTACTACAAACATTACAATTCATCTTCCTCCAAAAATTTGAAATATGAAATAAGAATTATTTTGACAATACTTATGTATTTCAATTCGCGTTGATATAAAATTCGTTACGTTCTTGTTAAATTGGCTTTTGAGCCACCATTCTAGCGTATATCAAAAGTACAGCCATATGGGAAACAGTCAAAATTATAGCCTACTTTTTATAAAATCAAGCAAAGAACCCGTTTGGTTTTAAGAGTCGATAGCACTAAATTTTGAAATTTTTTTTTCTTTCCTACCAAAGATCTTTAGATATCAATGTAGCGTTATGTCAATTCCGAATACCCAATAAAGAATTTAAATTAATTTGATGTATCAACGGATTGAGCATCATAAAATAGACGCCCGAACTCACCTCAACCAATTTCTGTCAACAAAACAAAAATCACTGGTTTATTTTTGTTGATCCAAAATTCGAGAAACTCGTTTTATTTATAAACTCTTTTTTATTTCGCATTACTTTCTAATATTTATTAAAAAAATCTTAATAATGAACTTCAATCTCATTAAATCTCCATTTCTGAGGTAAAATAGATTTCGAAGTACAAAGTTCTTGTAAACAACAAAAAATTTTATATGTATATCTGATACATGCAACATAAATTTTCAGAAATAAAGCTTTTGCAATTTTCACAGATGGCGAAATATATGTATGTATGTTTTCACTTCTACATTCCTACGAAAAATTTGCTTTCCAAGAACAAATTACAATTGTACTTGTTACAAAGTATACTATGTACGTACATATTTTGATTGAAAAATAGGCAAAAATTTAGTTTTCAATAGAGTGAAGGAAGGGAATTCAATATTAAAAAATCATATAACTAAATTATCTATAACCAACATGATAACTTTAGTTAAAAAATGCTAAAGTATAATAAAAGATAAATACTAGTCATTGACCTTATTGGGCGCATTGTTTCATTCCGATACCTTTTCGAGCATCAATAAAGAGTAACAAAAGTAAAACTCAAACCATAGCAAATGGAATAACTATCGACTAGCAAAAAATTCCTTTTTACGTTGTTAACTATTCTAGTACATATGTATTATACACATAGATATGTACACACATGACATAGCTATGCATAGTATGCACTATAACCATACAATTGTACCATAGATTTATTTAAGAACAGTTGATTTAAACTGGACTCTTGTGTGGTTTTGCATTCACTGACCTTATACATTGTTCTGATTTCTTTAAAAAAAAAACATAAAACAGAAAAATATAGAAAAATTTTCTCTACATTCTTTCTTTTTATTTGTTCTCCTTTTTTTAATATTTTATATACGAGGTTGCTTTTTTTCAATATACAATCTTGTTACCTGAGCGATTTTACATGAAACACAACATAACGAAACAAAATATGGAAAGATTTTGCTTCTTTTAAATTTTATATGCTCAAAGTTGAAGAAAAGCTAAATCTAAAATTAATATACCATAAAAATGAATGATTGTTAAAGGATCATTAAACCTTAAACTTAAAATCTTAAATTTTAAAGAATTTGGAATTTTAATACTTATTTGCTGTTTAAATTCAAATTGGGGGCAATTGCTTCAAATTAAGATAACTAATGGGCAATCGTTTTTGGAAACTAAAACCTTTGTGATTTACAGTTTTGTTACTTTAAATATGCAATCAATTTCTGGTATAGCTGTTGTATC